TGAATCCTGTTTACAATTTCCATTTTTGCCCAAAATCTCTATTTATTCCCATCAACACTCAATTTCAGTTTTAACATCTGCTGGAAAATCTGCCTGCCTATTGTTTGTCTCCAAATAAAGAAAACATTTTGTTATGGGCTGTGTTCCTGTTGTATCTCTGCAGTCAGCTGAAGAACACCTTGTGTAAAGCTTGGTCTGTTCTTCTGGGGCTCTTGACAACTTTGAAACATCTAAAAAAGGACTGCTCTTGGCTCTTTCCAGACCTTCCTCCAGAGCCAAGTGTCTGGAAAAGGAAACTGCCCAGTACTAAGGGAGCATGATCAATACTGTAGATGAGTTATAGTCACATAATCTACACAGACTTAAATTTTCCATTATTATGTGGGATTGTATCACTTCTGTAAGTCAATATCTAGATTGAATGTTCCCTGAGATGAAAGCATGGCTGAAAGGCAGATATGTCTCAATATATGTGAAATAATGAAATGAAAAGAAAAAAAAAAAAAAAAAGAAAACCCACCTAAATTAGATCAGTCCTCAGTTGGATCCAGTTCTACTCCTACTGAAGCACCTTGCCTGCTCTTCAGTGGAAATTGAAAACATGTGGAGGGGTGTGAAAACAGAACTGCAGTATCCTGTTTGATGAGCAAAAAGACTAAACCTGTTTTACCAACTGCTTGATAAAAGGAGCAAAGGTTCAGTTTGCAAGGTCAGGTAGCTGAAACTTGTATTTCTGAAAATTAAGGAGTTAGCAATACTAGGCATGTTTCCTGTTAAGTAAAACTCAATGCTCAGCAGGCAAAGCAGTAAGAATCTTGGAAGCTGCTAAGGTGAGTTGTAAGAAAAGAAGAGTCTATAAACAGGAAAATAAGCAATGCCAATATTGGGGGTTTAAAAGATAAGATGGCTGTTAGACCAATTCTCAGGCCACCCAGTACCTTCCTGAAGAAGCCAGTATTGAGAAGATTCTGGAAACTACTCAAATCACAGTACAGAAAGCACTTAAGGAACCGTCCTCTATTAACAGAGAAATAGTGATGCAAGTAGATGATTTCCAGCTCTAATTTTTTCAACTTCTTGAAGTCGGGTATCTTGATCTCAGTGATATGGCTCCATCCTTGATAAATGTAGACATTTGGATGAGAACTCATATGTGAAGCTCCAAAATAGTTCATAAAAAATAACCAGATTTGACTTTCTGAGGGAATGAAACTATACAGGTTTTCAAATGTTTAATTGCTTTTCTGTTTACATTAAATTTATTTAGGTTTACAATGGATGAAATACCTGTCAAAGAAAATCAGTTATAGCTAATAACCCAACTAATTAACGGCAATCTACCATTATGTGACGTCATTCATCCCCGGATATAAAAGTGGTTTGCAAATGAATTAATGAAACATATGCAGTAAAAAATATCTGTATTTTATAGTGGACAAATGGAGTGATTGCCATGGCAACCAAGAAAATTTGTGTCAAGATGAGAAAAAGTACACAATTTTTTTACTGTCTCCTTTTAGATTTTTTTTTCTTTTTTGTCTTTTGTGCATATTTGTTGTTTCTTTCCCATCACTACCACATCTCTGCTGGCTTGTCTCAACTGTTTATTCCACACATTTGATAGACATTTTCCAATTTGGAAGCCCTATAATAACTAACAATTTTTTTCATTACATGTAATAAAATAATTTGATCTTTTGGTTCTATTTGTATTTTAAGGTTGCTTGTAATGAGACATGACAAGGAAGATATTATTTTAAGACATCTCTTAAAGCAGAAATAGCCTGTGCTCTCAACTGAGATATAAGTATATCCACAAAAGAGAACTAATATCAAGGGGTTTCTCTTCCAGCAACAAATTAGAGCTAAGAATTTTTATTTGGATAGGAACACTGAGTAAAACACTCTGCTATTTTACTTCAGGTTTTTAACTTTGCAATCAAATTTTCAGCTGGCATGAACCGGCATTGCTCCAGTGAAACCAGTGCACATAATGAAGTTTTGGTCCAGAGTAAGTTTGTTATCCTACATCTATTTCTGTAGAAGGGAGTTTTTTCTTCGAAGGCCCACATGTAAAGGGGCGGGCTATCCTGACCCTTTGAACTCCATGCTCTTATCTTTAATAACCAGCAGCCATCAGACTTGCACTGTGGAGAGCTAAAGCAAGAGCTCAGCACCATTTCACACAGCAATAATTTTCCATTATACGTCAGCCCTGCTCCACAAGGAGCTGTGGGCTGACTTGTACGTGTCAGCTTCAGCAGCCCTCCCGGTAAGCTGCTTCTCCTGGCCAGGGGTGTGGGCTACCACCAGGCTTCGAGCCAGCACAGTCTTGTTTGTGCCTACCCAGCACCTGCATTGGGGCTACAGCAATTGGCTGCTGGTGATGTACACGTTGTCAGGACACCCAGGCTGGCCAAATCCCATTGTGTTCCTTCAGCTAAAACTAGTGAAATACCAAAAAAAAAATAAAAAAAAATATTCTTTTAGTACTAAGACACAAGTTCTTCTCTGCATTTCCTTAGGTTTATGTAGGAGTCTGGGCTGCATTAGACGGGAGTTAATGCAGACAGGAGGATTCAAGGACAAAGGCAAAGTTAGCAAAAGAAAGAGTGGCTGTGGTCAGCAAATGCACACCAGTTTGAGCAAAACAAGATATAAGATAAGGAAGTTTTGGCAAGTTTTGGGTTGTGTATATGTAAATACAATTAACCAATGCAGATGCTTGTAGAAGCACGTGGACAGCGAGTGTAGATAGCATGCAGCCTGTCAGAGGACAGATAAGCACGTGTACGGAACTTAGTGTACTATAAAAGTAACCAGAATCCGAGAATAAACGAACGATCTGATCATCATATCGGTGTTGTGTTGTTCCTGATCCCGCATAAGAAGATAGAGACCCCAGCATTCTGGTGACCCCAGCGTGATCCCTCATTTTGAACAGGAGCCAGAGGAAGGCCACGGGCTGTCAGCCGACGTTACTGGAGGTAAACCAGGCTGACCGAGAGAGGCAGGAGTGGATCCACGCTAAGCTGAGAAAGGAGGGGCTTAGATACAGACAGCATGGGGATTGCTGCCTCAGCAACAGAAAAGGCTGCAGCCCGAAGTTTAATGCAGGTCCCAGAGAAAACAGAGGTGGATCTCAAGGAAGGGGATTTAACCGCGCTGCTTCTTTGGTGCAGAAGAAAAACATTAATTACTAATACTGATCAGTTATATGATGAAGACGTCTGGAAATCTATTGGGACTGATTTGTGGGAATCAATTCAAACAGGGGACAGAGAAGCACGAAAGTTGGCACCAACTTACCGAACTGTTCGTTTAATGTTAGAGACAATGAGAGGGCAGGCTTGTGTTGCTGCCACTGCTACGTGAGCTATTGGCGCCGTCGATGACAAGAAGGGAGATAAGGAGGATGTAACGGAAAAAGAGGATAGGGAGTTCCTGTTGGTTGATGAGTCTGCACCCCCTAAGCTTGTGTGCCCCATGTCAGAAAAAGAGCTTTGGGGGTGTCCATCGATTGAAATTGAACCCTGAGTACCATCAATAACGCCTTCTGCTCCACCTTTGTCTGGTCCATCTCCTCCTGATACTTTGCTAAATCCTGTAGATCCAGTTAAGGTGCCGCTCCCTATAGATGTGGATGATGTGACACCTCAGGCTATCTACCCTAATCCTCATCGTGAACATCTTTCTGATTTACTGAAAGAGCAAGAAAAACCAATGTCTGCTCTTCTAAAAGAAATGCAAAGATTAGATCATGGGTCGTCAAAGCAAGAGATTCGTGAGGCATATAAAAAAGCTTCTCAGGCTGTGAGAGATAGTTTGAAAGCAGTCGAAGAGAGTGTATGTGGACCAGGGTCCGAAGGTGCCGTTTGTGGGCAAAGTAATTCTGAAAGATCCCCACAAGACACTCAGATTACTGTGGAAATGTTAAGAAACAAAGAGAGGAGAGCTAGAGCGTGGGTAATACAATTATTAGAAGAAGGAGAGATGACTTCAGAAGAGGTGGATAATTATTTAAAAAGTAAATTTGGAAATGGACTAATGGCCGAAGAGCAAAAGTCATATGCCGATTGGGATACAGACAAAGCTGGAAACTGTGCTGGTCCCACAACCCCGCTAAAATGGGTTGCTGAATGGTTACATGGGACGGATGAATGAGGGAAACCTGACCATGATGTTCCCTCTTCGACATTTGGTTCCCCCATGTCGGGACCCCCTCCTATTAAAGACCCAAATTATACTGCCGGACGGAGATGGAAAGGGGTGATTGAACATGCAGTCATAGAAGGACAGATGTTGCCACCTAGTGTTACCGCAATGCCAGTTGTTGTGCCAAGAAATCAACGGGTGTCGCACCCCTTTGATTGGAAGACAGTGAGTCAGTTGCAACGAATCGTCATGGACTTTGGGTATGATAATAAACAAGTTATGAATGTAATACAGTCCTTTTTCCACAATCAGGATTTAGTGCCAGCTGATATCAAGGCGCTTATGGAAATCATTCTTCCTCCTACTGCTTTTATGATGTTTAAAGATAGATGGCAAAAAAAATGTGAGGTTGAGATGATAGAGAACATCAATGGATGGAAATGATCCCCTAAGATACACTACGCTTGACCAACTTATGGGGACTGGCATGTACCATGATGGGGCAGTGCAGGCAGCCTTACCCCCCTGAATAATGCAGCAGTCTCAGGCTTTTGCATTAGCAGCACTACAAGAGTTGCCTCAAATTGGAAGACCGAGCCTTCCTTACCCCCCCATGGATATCAAGCCAATTTAATACAAATATCATCAACTAAAACAAAAGCAAGAAGAACCATATGTGGAATTTATTGATTGATTGAAAGAAGCACTGGAGCTGCACCTAACCTCACACCTGATGCTAAAACGGCAGTGGAAAAGGATTTGGCTGATGAAAATGCAAATCAAAGTTGTCAACAAATTATTGCCAGTCTCCCATGAGGTGCTAGTCTGACACAGATGGTTGAAGCATGTTCACGACTGCCACAATTATTGGAGGAGCAAGCAAAGGCTACCATCCACACAAAAGCCTTGCTGCAGCTTTAAGACCTACTACAATTCAAGGAAAAGGAGATCATGGACCTAAAGGTGCCAGGAGAAAGGAAAGATGGTTTTTATGCAGTAAACCTGATCATTTTAAGCGACAATGTCCTCAAGCAAAGAAAACCATTGCAACTACACCACCATTTGCCGGTACCTGTAACCGATGTGATAAATTTGGACATAGGGCCAACGAGTGCCGATCAAGATTCAAGAAAGATGGGTGCCCCTTGCTGGGAAACTCCTCACAGAGTGCCTTACCGGGGGGTGCCAAGACACTCAAATACCCCCAAGTGGTGGCTGTGTCGACAAGCTCTCGGCACCCACCTGAGGAAGTTCAGGCCTCTATTTGGGAATCAACATCACAATAGTAGATGATTCAGTGCATGTAGTCCCCTCCGCGGTTACAGGACCATTAGGACACAGACTTAGCGCATTAATAGGACAATCTTCAGCATCAAAGCAAGGAATTGTGATTATTCCTGGATTAATTGACTCTGATTATACTGGACAAATTGGGATAATGCTGAGAATTCTGAACCCTCCATCCACACTGTGAAAAGGTGACCATATAGCTCAATTAATTCCTTTTTGAGCACATGTTATTAAGAGTAAAGATCGCGAAAGGGGCAATTGAGGATTTGGATCTACTGGACCAGTGACTGTTGCTTTTTCACAATTAATCACTGATAATATGCCTATGTGAACAGTCACATTGCTTGAGAATGATGGAGCTGCGGTCCATTCTGTAAGGGTTATGCTAGATACTGGAGCTGATGTTACTATTGTCCCATATGCTGCATGGCCATCTTCATGGCCATTGATCATGATGTCTAACACTGTTACAGGAATTGGAGGAGCATCACCTACACAAAAAGTGTGCATTTTGTCACTGTCATAGATGACAAGGAAGGTCTCAGAGCACTAAAACCATACATACTGCATACGACACTTTGGTTATTAGGATGAGATGTCCTGTCTCAGTGGGGATGTGTATTGCAAATGCCTTGCTAGGGGTGGCCATCGTAGCAATTGAACCCCGTCCTGTTTTGAAATTAAGCTGGTTAACCGATACACCTGTGTGGGTGGAACAATGGCTGCTACCAATAGAGAAGCTCGCTCATCTAAAGGATCTCATGCAGGAACAACTGAATGCTGGACACCTTGTCCCGTCTACCAGTCCGTGGAATACACCTGCGTTTACCATCAAAAGATAGAGACTTTTGCAAGACCTGCGAGCAGTTAATGAAGTTATACAAGACATGGGAGCACTTCAACCAGGATTACCCAATCCATCCATGCTCCCTCAAGGCTGGGACATTGTGATCATTGATTTGAAAGATTGTTTTTTCATGATTCCTTTACATCTGGAAGATTATGAAAAAATTGCCTTTTCTGTTCCTTCTACAAATAGAGTAAAACCTTCTGAAAGATATCGTTGAGTATTGTTACCACAAGGAATGAAGAATTCTCCTACAGTATGTCAATGGTATGTGGACTTAGCTCTATGACCTTTTTGAGAACATCACACCAACTGCACTTTATGTCACTATATGGATGATTTGTCAACAAACACCCATTTCTGAAGAATTGATTCAGGAACTGACTGAGGCTTTAAATATAATGGGACTCGTTGTGGCCCCTGAAAAGTGCAATGGACTGAACTATGGAAGTACCTAGGGATGACTTTAACTGAATCTACTGTTAGGCCTCAGAAGTTGTCAACAGTACAGAAAGTTGAAACATTAAATGATGTACAAAAATTGGTAGGAGATATCCAGTGGATTCACAGTATTTGTGGCATTACCAAGACAGATTTACAGCCTTTATCTTAGTTGCTGCAAAGAGATTGTAATCCTCAAGAACCCAGGACTTTAACAGTATCAACTAAACACGCCCTGGATAACATTTCTCTGAAACTGAGTGCTAATTCTGCAGCCCGTATTGACCCTGTTCAAGCAATGCAATTGTTTGTATATAATACAGAATCAGAGGTATCAGCTTTTTTAGGACAATGGTGTGAACAACCACCTGATCCCCTTAGAATTATTGAATGGTTGTTTGTATCAACCAGAGGACATAAGACAATAACGTCATGCGTGGACGCAATAGCAAGTATCATTCGAAAGGGTGTTCAGCAAGCAATGTCTATTGCTGGAAAGGAACCTGATTGAGTGATTGTGCCATATGCATTGGACTTAATTCAAACCATGTGTGAATCATCTATGCCCTTCTCGTTGGCTGTATTGAACAAATCAAACTGACAACCATTATCCGAAGCATCCGCTGTTTAAAACTACTTTAACAGTGAATGCTGTTCCTGTCATTAGTCGTCAACCTTTACAAGCTTTAATGGTGTTTACTGATCCCAGCAGCAAGACCAAAACAGCAGGATTTGTTGGGAAAGAGAATGGCATATGGCAATCAGAACACTTCAGTTGCGATACATCTGTGCAGATTTTGGAACTCAAGGCAGTACTTGCTGTACTTAACTGCTGGAACACTCAAGATTTAAATATAGTGACTGACTCTTTATATGTTGCGGGTGTAGTACAGCAGATAGAAAGAGCCTTGTTGGGACATGTAAACAATCCCACTCTTTTTCAGGCCTTTGTCGACTTGCGAAATACTGTTAATCACCGTATGCATCATTTTTTTCTTATGCGTATAAAGAGCCATATTAGACTCCCTGGAGGCCTTGTAGAAGGCAGTGCTCGAGCTGATCAGTTGGTTACTGCTTTAGCGGACAAAGATGGCATTGTTCAAGAAGCTTACAACTCTCATGCCTTTTTTCACCAGTCTGCGTCTGCATTACGCAAGCAATTTAACATCCCTAAGGTCCAAGCACGGGCGATACTGGCTGCTTGTCCAGACTTTGCCACTCCCATACCACTGCAGGATGGCAGGGTGAATCCATGTGGCTTGTAGCCATGAGAAGTTTGGCAGACTGTTATCACCGAATTTCCACCTTTTGGGTGCCTTTGCTACCTACATGTGTCAGTAGACACTTGTTCCTCATTTCTATGGGCCTCTGCTCATGCCTCTGCCTCGGCGGCAGCAGCTCATCAACATTGGATGCAGGCAATAGCGGCTATGGGGTGTCCAAAGAAAATAAAAACTGATAAGGGTCCTGCATACCGGGCAGCCTCCACTGCTGCTTTTTTATAACATTGGGAAACACAGCTTCTCCGTATACCATATTGAAACATCACCTTACTATTTTGAAAAAATATGGGGAGACAGGGGGTTCCCCCCATGAGATATTGGCAAACACATTATTTGTATTAAATTGGCTTGATATCCATGGGGGGGCAAGATGAACCACCTGCATGAAAACATATGCAAACAAACAAGCATGCTTATTCTTTTCAAAAAATTCAAGTGCAATTGTATTCCCCTAAATCTGGGCTATGGGAGGGAACTATGTAATTGTTAACCTGGGGAAGGGTTATGTTTGTGTCTCTACAGGTCGACCCTGGTTTTTTATACATTGCGCATGGTGTGACGGGATCTTGGAGAGTCACGTGTGCACAGGATTGGGAAAGTGTGTATAAATGTCACTTGTGTACTGACCAGATTATTTTTTATTCTTAGAGCAGACGGTTTGTCTGAGTTGATAGGTAGGCCCATATATCAGCAATTAGCTGTTGGTACAGAAGGACAGGTTAGAGTTCTTAGAGAGCACCAGCAGTTTTTTAGGGCCTCAGACCTAATTGAGGATCTTGGGCAAAGGGTTTTGGCAGAAATTAGCTTTGAACTCTGTAAACGCTTAGCTTTGCAGTGCATTAGGCAGAATAACAAGATAGTAGACAGGAGCTGTGGTACTGGAATAAACGTTTCTTGAAGTTGGCAGGTGAATAAGGATGACTGGAAAAGAGGTAAAACGATACATCAAACGTGAGCAACATGGGCCAAGTCTATCAATTTGTTTTATAATAGGTTGTGAAGGAGTTTTTGACTTTATACCCAGAACAAATATTTGGGTAACATGGGAAAACACATCTGGGAGAAAAGATTTTTGTTTGAGTCTGCAACAAGCAAATGATCCTTTTCGCACCTGTTCAATTGGCATTCCGTTGCGGGGAAAATGAAACTGATTTTAGTGGATATTGGAAACAACAGAGCGTGAATCTGACTAGCAGTCAAAATGACAGTTGTTTCAGCCCAAATAACACCTATGTTTGGCCTTCTATGCATAGCACAGCCTGGCAAAAGACAGTCATTGAGAATTTAAATCAATCAATTTCCCTTTGCAAGAACTGGATTTGTTGGCTAGCGTTGCACCTCTTGAGTATGTTAATGTTACCAGTATGCAGAACTGTGGTAATATGGTTCCCCAACTCCAGCCAGTGAATGGCACAGGAGTGGTTTGGTTTGGTGACCTATGGCACCAATGGACGCCAAGATTTGTTTATAGGTTATCAAAATATAACAGGATATTCTCTTTGGACTGGTTTGAAAACCAGAAGGTTCCCTGTGAAAACCACAGAGGGCTTTAAACTTCCACCAGGAGTGTTTTTGATTTGTGGAGATAGGGCATGTCCTGGTATTTCTGTACAACCTATTGGTGGTCCATGCTATCTAAGACAGCTGACATTGTTTACTCTTCACATAAGAGAATTATTGAATGCCAGTAAAGGACATGAGGCAAGATCACCCAGATCTGTTCAAAACTTTGACAATACCTGCAACGACGAGGTAAATTGCCTTCATTAGCCACTGTCATAGCTACGTCCTTTTTATTGCCAGGAGGAATGGCTGCCATAAATGCAAAAAAAAATATGTATAGATTAGCATGTTGGGGTGAAAAGCAATTTAATTTAACTTCACAAATTCTGAGTGCTTTGCTTACTGATATTGATAGTGTTAGGCATGCTACTTTGCAAAATCATGCTGCTATAGATTTTTTATTGTTGGCACACGGGCATAGATGTCAAGTTTTTGAGGGAATGTGTTGCTTTAATTTGTCTGACCACTCACAGAGAATACACCAACAATTGGTAAAACTGCAAGATAATATGAAGCATATTACAGAGGGATATGTTCCTTTTTCAGACTGGCTTGCTGGCCTCGGATTAAGGGGTTGGTTGCAAATGCTGGTTAAGGGAGCATTGATGGTATTGATAATATTATTGATGCTGGTGTTGATTCTTCCTTGCATGTTCCAATGTTTGCAACGGATGCTGCAAGGTTTAGTTGAGCAAATATTTAAGAAAACAGGGGGAGATGTAGGAGTCTGGGCTGCATTAGACGGGAGTTAACAGACAGGAGGATTCAAGGACAAAGGCAAAGTCAGAAAAAGAAGGAATGGCTGTGGTCAGCAAATGCACACCAGTTTGAGCAAAACAAGATATAAGATAAGGAAGTTTTGGCAAGTTTTGGGTTGGGTATACATAAATAGAAATAACCAATGCAGATGCTTGTAGAAGCGCATGGTCAGTGCATGTAGATAGCATGCAGCCTGTCAGAGGACTGATAAGCACGTGTACGGAACTTAGTGTACTATAAAAGTAACCAGAATCCGAGAATGAACGAACGATCTGATCATCATATTGGTGTTGTGTTGTTCCTGATCCCGCATGAGAAGATAGAGACCCTGGCAGGTTTATATAGCTGCACTTGCATTAATTTCTGCAAAGCAATTAATGGCCTTCTGTGATTTACAAACTGTATTTGCTGTGTCATGTTTTGGAGTGAAGGTCTATTTCAGATTTCAAATGTCAGAATTCTGTGTACTAGCACTCCTCACTCTTCCAATATTTCAAGGGAAAGGCAACTGAGCAAATATATTTGGGGCTTAAGATAAAGCTAGGGCTTTTAGAAACATCTAGGTGACTGAAGTGCACACATCTCACTGACAGGAACAATAGCAATGAGATTTCTTTCAAAAGTGTGAGAGCCGAGTACAGAGTGTGAGGGCAACCACTTTCTCTTCCTCCTTTCAAACTCAGAAGCATTAATGTTCCATGAAAAGTCTTGCCAGTCCTCTGCACTTCACACAGACCTGACCCCCCTTACTCAAGAAAAAAATAAGCTTGGAGAAAAGTGCAAAGAAAGGCAACTAGTGAGATGAGGGGAATGGAAAGCCTACTGTGCAAAAGGAGAGAGAGATTGTGACTTACCAAAAGAAGTTCAGAAAAGCGTTAATTCATGCTCAAGAATAAATTGGGTGGATAATTTTTTGTAGGGAGAAAAAGAACTGTTTAAGCTCAAGAAAATAACTGACGGTCTACATCACGCATTCACATTCAAGCTGGAATGTGAAAGGTTTCAACAATAAGAGTACTGAGTTTCTATTTCCAGTTTGAAAGAAACCAACTGCAGTAGAGTTTTTTGAACACAAAGGACCTCGATCAGTCCATAACTTAGTTGTCTGCAGGAGCAGTCCCTGCCAGGACTGTGTTTCTTTGACGTAAAACAGCCCCGTTGCAAGGATTGGGGATAATTAACTGAACATTGTGGAAGTGTCTCACATCGTAGAAGGTGTTCTGCCCCCAGCTATGCTGAAAACTGAACAAAGAGGGGTAAATGGATTGTCCCTAGTGTTACGTGTTTCTCCTGTGTGTGAAAGAACTGACCTTCCCATTGTGAGTCCTGGCGAGTTCCTGAATTCATTTAGAGATAAATTGAATTTATTTAGAGAAAAAGAATTAATCTAAACATTTAAATAATATGGGAACCTTTATACCCATGACTTTACAGTTATATAGTTCCTATGGTTATACAGTTACTCTGTGCATAAAGTTATACATACTGGCAAGTCTGTGGGCCTACAGTTATATATACATAAACATGTAATAGTGGACATTTAACAGTAAGTGTATAAAATACAGAATGGAATGAGATTTTTGCTTGTTCTTCACTTGCTACTACTTTTCTTTCCTTTTGTATCCACCTCATGCTTTTTATTGAATCCTTTATCTAGCTCATGTGTCCAGGAAAAAAAAGCTTGTTCATGTGCTCCTGTAGTCACAAAAACATTTTCTGATTTTTTGAGACTCACTCTGGCTTCTCATGTATCTTCCAGACTAACTTTGGCATTCTGCTTTTCCTCCCTTTTATGTGGCCTTTCTTTTTTTTTTTTTTCTACTGCTGTGTTTGTTATTTCTGTCCTTTCATGCTGATAGTTTCTTTTCATTCTAGGATTTGAAAAAGGTACAAGACAAGGAACATCCTACCAGGGTAACTTAGACTTAAGAGCCGAAAGACAACCTTCTTCGTCTTAGTGGAATATCCCTTTTCCAGTACTGTTCTTTCCAAATATTATCTTCCTTCCCATTCCTATTGTGAAAGTTCTTACTGCTGTTCCTCCATTATCTTTCCTCTCTGTTAGATGATTTCTTACTCTTGTTTTCCTCTTTTTGACCATTACTCTACTCCTCCTGACTCAGTGTACAGCCTGAATACAATTTTACTAGTATGTGTTGCTGAGATTGGATTCAAACTCCTTATTCATTCACTGAAGTTTCCTTCATATTGGAGACATTCTTCTGTGTGAATATAACAAATGTGTGTTGCCTACTGCAGAATCTCAGTGCTGTGGATTTATAGCAAGGGATTTATGTGAATAACTTTACTCTTAAAATATGGGAAATCCTGTTTCAAATATAATACCATGCTCAATTCTTAATTACTTAAAACCTACTAGTTTACAGGCACTTTGTTTACAAACACACTCTGAAGGCTGACCTTACCTAAAAAAATAATCTTTTGGGGGAGATTTAGATGTTTTCGTGTAATTTTGATAATTGACAATTATGATAGATGAAAACTACGTGAATATAGTTAAACGTGCATGCCCAGTATAATGGTTCAATTCTGATCGCATTTGCAGACAAGTCTTGGGGACTAAGATACTCTCTTTTCTTCTGGGGTTATGATGGACAAAGGTTGGTTTCAGTGGACCTACTGCAACTCCGACCCGTGTAATGTCAGGATGAACAGGGCTCTTGGTTTAGTCTGAATGTGTAAACTGCTGTAGGCGTTGTGCTGCTGCTGCAAAAGCAATTAATATTTGGAAGGTAAACAGGAAGAAACTCTAAGATGGTAGCTGTTTAATAATGTTGTTAGAAATCTAAGGCAGCCCCCTCGTGGCCATTTATGTTTTGAAGCAATTGTTTCCAGACCCATTTAAAAGAAGCCATTGTTTGGAGGAGAAATGAACGCTTCCCGATTTCAAATTTCTACTGTGTACTGGTACAGTTGTTAAAGGTGTTGATAACACCAACAACCTTATGTGCTAATACAGGTCAAACCAGTTTTTGTGTGGTATGGATCTGAAGTGACTGAATTGCCAGGAGCAGCTCTCTAAAGCCTGGCCTACAGTCCCAATCCTGGCTTCAGCGCTGGCAGAGCTATGATACGTGAGCAGAATTTACTGTCCCAAATCTGCCTGGTTGTCTTCTGATTCTCTTCTTCTTTTGAACTATGTTGCACAGAGGGCTGCATATTCATGGAGCATCTTGATTTTTTTTTCTTTCTTTAGTTCCTGCCTGTCCTCAGATCCTGTAATGACCTGCAGTCACTTTGTCCTTGCTAAATAACTATTCGGTTGAAAATTAATGTCTTCCAACTGGTTAGCACAACCTCACGTCGTTTTGAATTTGATGCTTATTGGCACTTGTGGTGACAGAGCTCAAAACGCAACAGTGGTTAAAGACAAGAGCTGGGTCGTGGAACAGATTGTGAAGAGATGTCAAGGCAGAAATGAGAGATGCTAACGCTAAGATGGATGAGACACAAAAGCCGAAAGCACCGAGAAATTCAGAGGGGGAAAAAGTCTGTGCCTTAAATTTTGATCCGGTGCCTTCTGTGCGGCAGCTGGTCAGGGCTGAAAGCAAAGGCAGGCTTCCAGGGGTTCTGTGGAGAAGTCCTTTAGCGCATCACGGGGTTTTTGGGGGGGTAGGAGGCTGTCGGCTGGGTTTTGCCATGGTGACCGCCCCGTGCCTCGGGGCGCCGCGGGGACAGAGGCCCCTCTGGAAGCAAACCCGGGCCGGTCGGCCTGTCCGTCTGGCGGGCGCGGCCGCTGGGCGGGCGGGGCCATGGCTGACTGACAGCTGGGCGGTGTTAAGGCTCGCTTCCGTTCCGACCTGTCCCGCCGCCAGCGCAGGCGCGCTCCCGCG